CATACATGCTCAAAGGTGGGAACCCGCTTACAGTGGGCGTCGGAATTGTCATCGAAGTTATCCGGAAGAACAACTCCGATTATGATCCTGATCAAGGTCACAGCGCTGACGCTCCCCCAACCAACCACGATCCGATCTATCTCGGCACGCTTCTGAGATTGTTTGCGCATCATGTTCCAGATTTCATGAGCCTCATACTCAGCTCCAAGCATACGGTTACCAAAGGCGAGGAGACAACCGTGGCAGAGAGAGGTCAACTCAAATCGGCGTGGGGAACGCAGATTGAACCCCTGGGCTTTGACCGATTCAAAACCTGCGAGTTGATGGCAGAATTACTGCACTGCAGCAATATGGGTCTTCTGAACGAGAGAGGCAGTGAAGAATTCATCAAGGCAAGAGACGCCGAAAGAGAGAGATTAAGAGAGCTTGGGGCGTTTTTGTCGAACAAACAATCGGAGGATTCCACCGTTGACATCTCGGCGAGTTCGTCGAGGTTCGAAAATGCCTTCACACCCTCGGGGTCCACCTCGACAGAAGAACTACGCATCGCGAATCTGAACGACGAGGATGGTTTCGAGAAGGTTGCTGTTTCGGACGCAACCGATCTCTCTTTAGGCTCGAAACAAGATTCGGCTGAACAGCCGATATCGCCTCTCCAATCTCGCAATCAACCGACGACCCCGACCAGCGCGCTGGATGAAACTGTCCGCCGTCTTAGTCTAGAAGACACGGACATGGCCGCACCCGACGAGCACGAACCAAATATTCAGACTTCGGCTCGCGAGTCTCAGTTTGAAGACATCTCACCGCATCCAGAGGACAAGCCTGAACCACTGTTCTCGAAATCGTCAGATCCCAACAAAACACCCACAGCGAATAGCCCAGAGCCCCCTCCAAGCCCGTCGACTGCAAAAGCTCGACTTGGTGAAACGGGCCACGGCGGCCAGCCAGAAGGAGAATCGTACCAATCGGCCCAAGATGACACAATGGAAGTTGTCAAGCCCGACCAACTCGGTGCTGGTGAAGCGCCAGTTGTGGGAGATTACTTAAAGATCATGTTTGTGGAGAACAGGGTCGTTCCAACGATTTTGGTGAGCAACCATGTATTCTCCGTGGCGTTCAATGGGAGATGCTAATGCTGGACAGAGTTTCTTCTTCCGCTTTCCTTGGAACAACTTTCTCCACAACGTTGTTTATGATGTTGTGCAGCAAGTTTTTAATGGACCCATGGACAGGGGCCACAACCGATTTTTAGCATTCGATCTTTTCGAAACTGGACGCATTACTGACGCGATAATTGAAGGCCAGAGACGAAGCGATGAGGAACAACGAATGAGGAATATGCGGCTGGGATACATGGGACACCTGACACTGGTAGCGGAAGAAGTCGTTAAATTCGGCGAACGTCACCCCAGAGAATTGCTATCGCCTATCGTTCAGGACTACATATATTCCCAAGCCTGGGAGGAATACGTTACCAAGACACTTGCTGAGACCAGGGAACGCGACAATGCGATCTTAGGAGGGTTCCGACCTGATAACGGTCTCGGTCCCAGACAAGCTGTTCTGAATGCTGTCAATGCAGGTCAGGGCTTTGGTGTTTCGAGCGGATTGGCTGGCGTTGGGTTGGGCGGCGGCCAACATGCTTTGGACAGCATCGATTTGTCCAACAACGGCAGCGCCACTAGTGCTGGATACAATTCAAGTGGGTCGGTTTCCAGTGGCTTTGGAAGCTCCTCAGACGACGATGATGAAGACATGGATGATGTGGAAGATGAAGAGCATTCAAGGGCAGTGACTCAGCTTTCTGCTGCTGATAGCGGTCTTTCGGCGGAGAACGTAAGTGGGACCAATACAATTCGACGGCTGTTTATTTTTTAGGCTAATGATGCTCTGCTTTTGGAAACAGTCTGATCAGCCAATACCTTTACTTCCACCTCCGCCAGCACCACTCAACATCGAGCCATCACGTGCTCGCAGACGGTTGGCTGATCGGTTAGCGAGACATAAACAAGAGGCTGAGCAAGAATTGGCTGCGTCCGAGTTCGGCTCCGAAGCAGACGACCCATTCGCTGCCCTTGGAAATGGCGACGACAACGATGCAGGCGATCCGTTTTCGTTGGACGAAGAAGAACAAGACATTACGTCGTTTGGGAAGCGAAGCAATATCAACTCTCTTAACCCAAGCACAGGAGATCACCACAGCTTTTCAGTTAGCAGAGGACTGACCAGTTTGTTTTCTTCTGCTCCGAGTCGAGATATGCAAGGACGAACTTCGCATGATGATTTTGATGGGTCACTAGATGATTCGTCATCTGAAGGATCTGGTTCTGACATGGATTCAGAAAACCCGCCCCTGGAAGCAAGGACGAGCCTCGAGCGGCGCCCACTGGAAGTTTTTGAGGACGAAGAGATGGGAGAAATGGTGGCTCCAACCGAAGAAGTCGACAGCAATAGTTCTGACGAGGAAGTGTTGAGTCCGTTGGAGAAAGAGAAGTTGGAAAATGCGTATGGAATGAACGATGATCCCGACGAGCAGGACTCGGAGTTCGCGGGACAAGCGGACCATGATGACGATGATGAGGATCATTTGGTAGAGATTGCGATCCCCGCTAGCTCGAAGAGGAGATCGAGAGGTTGATGTTTGCCTACGATCTGGATTTCTTTGACGCTGAAGGGAATCGGACGCCTATGGATGGCAACGGAGCTCTCCGTGGATTCCATCGATCCGATGAGCTCGCACAAGGGGCCCAAACAGATTTGCACCAGCCAGCAACGAGCGGATGGAAGATACAGTGTACAATTACCGCATCTTTTGTGATACCCCCATACACATTCAGTCACGAGGTACAGCATGGAAGGTTTTGGTCGCAGATCAAGGCGCGGCATACAGCAGACGAGAGATACGCCTACAAATCCCTGTCTTTCAGACGAAAGAGTGAGGTTGGGATGAGATGGATACCCACACGAGCGGATGTCTAATAGTTTTGGAGACTAGCAGTTTCAGAGGAGATGTTGGGGTCTACGGAAGTTGCACGCAGTGAATGCCCTGCTTGAAGCGGAGAGAAGGCAGTGGAGAATCCGTGAGCATATCACCGCTGCGGCTCTCTTTCGCACCTTTTCGAACTGATGGTAGTTTACTCTGCGGATGGGAATGCCGTTAGTGTTGTACGATAGTGGCTCTACGATGCGGATGTATTCAGATAAACGAAGTGAGTAAGTAAATGAGATGAGAATTACTAAACTTATCTACTCGAATACTTTGGGCCTTCCAAGAGCAAAGATAGTACATTCACTAGCTACTTACTAACTACCTCTATTACTCGAGAACGAAAAACCTGATTGCCATTTACGGTTTGATCCTTAAAGGGTGAGCAAAGGCTGCTTTACCCTGAGCTTTAACTGAGCTTTAGCTGAGCGCTCCCTAAGCACTCCCTAAGCAAACATGTTAAGGGCCCTAATCTGGCCCCTTGCGATCGGGTATACCTGCCACTAGGTTAGGCAGCCGTTTCAGGTGGGCGTGAGAAAACCTGCCAGATTCCTTTGCCTTTCTTTGGCTGTTTCCTTGTACAGTAACCTTGGGCCTGGCGGTGCAACAGGGTGCGCGGTTGAATCGTATGTCGCACTGAGACCAAAAGGAATCTGATGAAGCCAAATGGTGGTGAGCAATGCAAACGTCACCAACCCGCCAAGATCTGCCTCCGCTCTCGACTGCCTACTCGTGCTTCACCTCCAACCCTCCCCTCGATTATGATTGTATCTCTACTTGTCTACCCTTACCGGCATGGTGACTCAGGAAGCACTAGAGGCCGCCTTTGAAAGCGCCTTTGAACTGTGGAATGATGCTATCCGAAAAGAGTTTTAAAATGTCGACGAGCGTTTTGATCGCACGGATGCCGCAGTTCAGCGCGACTTTCAGAATGTCTACGAACGTTTTGATCAGGTCGACGACCGTCTTGATCAGGTCGACGAGCGACTCGGACAATTCTACGAGTTATTGATGGCTCAATCCACGAATCCACGTGCAGCATTAAGTCGAGACAGAGTGTTCCTAGTGACCATTATAAGCCGTTCACCAGCCTCTCAGCTTGTAATGCCATGTGAAAAACTCTTCCCCAACACTGTCATCAAATTCTAGAGCCTACAGTGTAACCGGCGAGATACGAACGGCTCTCGCGACCAAAAGCAGAGCTCTTGGAGAAAAAGAAGCGCGATTTCGCTGCGAGAAGCGCGAGGCCGAAGTTCAAACGAGGCTTGACATCGAATATTTGGGAGGATGTGACAGTCAGGATTGGCAAGGCCCCAGGAGATCGAGGAGAGTCTGTCACGGAAGAAGAGTTTCGTTCTTGGCTGACAGTTGCAATCGATCTCAATCCACCCTCGCCCACCGATGTTGTCCAGACCGGGGCCGGCGACTTGATCCTGGACGCTCGATTTGAGCGGCATCTCTACCTCCAAGGCTTGCGAATCGACAGCCATAAAATAAACAAGTTCGCATTCGGCTATAACTTGGCACGCGGTGCCATTGGCCGTAATCGAGATCGTTTGAAAACGTGGGAAGAAGAGGAAAAAATGTTGAATGAGATTTGGGAGCAAGCAATTCTCACCCAGGGACCCGATTCCGTCGACACCTTATCAAACTCCTACAAGATAAGCAGGAATGCCCCGAAGTGGATTTGACAGGGAGGAGGCTGTCAAAGTCAGCCGCGCAGGTTGTTTGGATCCGGCTGAAAGCATCGAATCCCAACACGTTCTTTTATCAAAACGTTACTCCTAACCCGTTCCTTTTTCAAGTAGGTGGCCTTTCACAAACACCCGCCATCGACAAGGGATATGCTCCTCTCTCAATACGAAGGTTAAGAGCTGACCACTCTCACAAAAGGCCATCTTGATTCGAGACGAATTTAAAAAATTGCCGGCTCCACTTTCCACAGCGTTATGGAACTTGTTGAAAGTTCTCGCTGATTCGCACCCCAGAAGAAGAACGCAACGTTTTGTTTATGGCGTCGAAGGAAGTGGTCTTGGATCGAGATGCATTCGGAACACACATCGTCCGAACATTGAAGGTGTCGATGGCATTACACCCCAAGCTGCGAGATTTGGACCTTCGCTTCGTCGACGGTGGTGGTACGAAGCTCGAGATTGCGTTCAACCATACAGAGAAACAGGTCCTTGTCCACGCTAAATGGCTCCAGTTCCTGACAGCCCACAAAATGGGCCCGTGTGAGGTCCTCCGCCTGACAGATGACGGCCAACTCGATGAAGAGGCTTTTTTTTGTGACCATGTGGTGGAAGAACTATTTAACTCTCTCCTCAGTATAATTGGTCGCGAACAGCTTACTGATGTGCGGCGAACAATGCGAGAACAGCTCCGGCTCATGCCTCGACTCGTCCAAGTCATCCCTACAAAGTCGCCGAACGAGCTCGAAGTCCGCTGGATTGGCAATGGAGGACTAATGTCGACCTACTACAGCCGCAATATCCGCTATCTGGTTACCCTCCATCGAGTGACCTCGTGCCAGTCAAGATCGAATGATCTGCTTCACGACCATCGAACCGGTATGTATTAATGAGCTCTGACTTGGCGATTTGGCCTAACATTTGTGCATAACCAGAAAGTCCCGTTGCCGATGGTGCGTCGCGGCAGAGTGAGTCAGATTCCCGCACAGAATCGGTCGTATGTGATTGTCCATCCCAAACTGTCCCTCGGACCCTCTCGAAAGCAATTTTCACCGGACTAGATCACAACGAGCAGTATTTTCCAATGGTCGCAAGACTTGATTCCAGTTCATTCTTCGCAACACCTCCGATCCCTGTCGCACCTCTTCGGATTGTCACACCATCTTTGTCGGGTCCCGGGTCCCGCCGACGCAGATCATCCTGACTTTGCCACTGAGGTTGTTGACTTTAACGATGCGACCAATATTTGCGACCATAGGGATGAGATTGATCAGGATATGGAAGTAGTGCATCGGGAGTCGCCGGTAATTGACGTTAAGCCCCCGATCGCCGATTTTGAAACACAAAATCTACCAACGCCGCAGTCATCCAGCTTGGAAGGAATCGAGCCAATACTCAAGGAGGTTGATGCTCTGCCGCTTTTTGAGCAAGATCAAGACTATTGGCGGCAATGGCACGCTGAAGAGCTACCGGGAGCGTTTTCAAAGCTCCTCGCGCACCGTGAACGCAACGATCTTGTACGTCCAGCATCTAGCGAATGCGAGAAGAGATATGATAGATTGAAGCTAACCAGGCGCAGCGAAATCTCCACCCGGTGGCAAGCCTCGAGTGGCCCGACCTGAATTTTCAATTCGTCAAAGACGAGTATGCCCTAATCCGCATTGGCAGAGAGAACCCGTTGGAGCATGTCATCTTCATCCACGAGATCTCTTACTGCGCTGAGGAAGCCGAAATCAGCGGCGCGCGTCTGCTGGTCACTAAGTATTCGAAACTTGTGTCGAATTATCCCGCTCCCCTGGAGGAGTCCGTTGGAGAGGACGAGGATGAGATCGAAAATGGTCAAGAACTGTTGCTCCATTTTGGGGACTTTGGCAATATGGGCACACGCCATGACGCTGAATCCATTCAGATAAGTGATATTGTCTTTGTGACAGAGCTTGTGGCCGGTGTGGACCATGTCCTTGCATTATCTCCAGGTAAGCCGCCAAGATTGAGAACCGGTGCCACAAGGGGAAAGCTGACTTTGTCAATCTGCAATAGTTGTTGAGCATGATGCCATGTACTGTCGTTTTACAATCAAAGGCTCGACATCGAATAGCACAGCGGCGTGCTGGACGCCATTGTCGTCTGATTTGCTGAGTCGGCGCGATCGGTGGCGGGGGCCGCAGTTCAACAATATATCGAGACCTGCTGTCGTGAACTTCACACCCGGTATCCTGGGCCCTGCAGAGGGATTCTCACAGGCTGTGTTTGACATTCAAGCCGCGATGGGCTTTGATCAGGAGCGTCACTTGTCGTGGAAGGTATGAGTTGTCCTTCCATCATAGAATTGGTGTCCCCGTTTCCGCCACTGACCTGTTCAGATACGGCACACTCAGAGTCAAATCTACGACGGTTCACCAAGAGACGCTCTTGACGACATTAAATCTAAACAACTCCGTCCGCCATGTACATCGGAACCCGCGCCTCCCAAAATCGCTCTTGTTGCTGGAGGAAACGCACCATTTCGCCTGAGCGAGGCCAACCAGAAGATGCCGCCCATAGAGCAATTCGTTTCTCCGTTGGACCCCCTCGACGCAGCAATTAATACTCCGAGGAAGCCTGATTTTCTGGTAATGTTCTGCTCACCAGCAATGCTCCACCAATTAGTGGTACCTCAACTCTTGGTCACCATTCTCGACCTGCTCTAGCACAGACTTTCCGTCCACATAAAGCTCTGTCGCCTGCAGGAACATGGACTTCCACTGGGGCGGAGTTTGCTCATCATTATCGCCTCGCCCTTTTGTGCCCCACTACCATGGTACCTACATTCACCATCTCTTGCTAGTCGTGAACAACCCACCACACTTCGTCATCTGATTGCTGACTTGGCATTTGAGAACACCCGCGTCGGACTAGGGCCGGAGCGGGCATTCTTGTGTTCAGCACCGCTGGAAATGCAACCAGGCGATGAGCAGGCCGATAAACATCCCAGCCACGTTTACAACCACCAAACCGGGCAAGTGTCGACATCATCGTGGAAGATCCCTCTTCTCTGGGAGACTGATGCACTCGAGGGGTTATCTTGCGATCCTCAACCCTGGACACATCCCGGTAGGTGAACTGAGGGCGGATCTCATCAGCGTTTCCCGTTTGACCAGTATGTATCTTCTATGCTAGCTTTTGACTCTACAGATCGCCAAGATCTCCTTACAGTGCGGGAGCTCGCTCGGCTCCAGGGATTTCCAGACGATTTTGTCTTCTTTCGGTCCTTGGACATTCAGTACGAGGATGTATGGACTGCTCTGCCACCGGTCCTCTCACGGCTTGTGGGGAAGACCATTTTGCAAGTCATCCAGGGCTCGCTAAAGGCAAAAGCGGGTGATCGCCAAGAGAGTCTGAGAGCTTCGAAACGACACAGGTCTGAAAACGATGTGTAAACCCCTGCGGTCTGTCAACTCAAGTCAGTTAGAGACTACATATTTACCCCCGGTCAATTTAATATCGGGGAGACAGACCCACAACCAACCGACCACGTTATCTCACTTCTTTCTATGAACATCTCTCACATAATTCGCGACTCGCGTTAAAGAAACAGTCGCGCACTCTCGAGGAAACTATTTATGGACCGGATAACCGCCGGTCTTTGCTCTCCTAGGTCGCGCGCTTTTCATGGTGACCAGGCTGAGAGGTCACCATTTGCATGAGGGGTGACTGCGCCCCTGCCGGGGGGCCATCTCGCATACGGATAATTGCCTCCGGCGCCAAATCAATGAGCATCGCCTGATCCGGTTATTTGTAGTGACACATATATTGCGCTCGAAGCTTCTCTTTCTCGATTCCAGCCTTGCGACAGAAGCCATCACCGTCAAAGTGTGTGAACGAAATGCACCTCAGAACTCAACATGGTAAGCTATTCTGTGAATATCAGGCTGTGTACATTGACAATTTCCAACGAATAGCCTCCTCAAGCCTCGATTGCGCCCAACACTAACTGTCTTGGGACTATTGTCTCTCCGCCTACTGCAACCCTCGAGTGAGTCTGCAGGCCGCTCCTCCATTGTTCCCGTGTTTACATCAATAAGCATTGTCGCCGTGCATGGAATGAACTTGGAAAACAATGACGACCACGCGAACAACACTTGGACTGATAAAGAATCGGGAACGAACTGGCTGAGAGACCTACTTTCCTCACAAGTCCCGAATTCAAGAATTCTAGCGTACCAATACAACGCCAATGTTGCTCTTGGGACGTCTTCTGCCGGCGTGGAAGAGCAAGCGATGAACTTGCTTAACTGCCTTCGGTCAGAGAGAAAGGTTTGGAGGACCCTCATCGAGCATTATCGAGTGGAGATGCTAAGGTGCGAACCACACACAGTCGAGTAGGACGCGGCCGATTATCTTTATTGCTCATAGTATGGGCGGTATCATTGTCAAAGAGGCCCTTGCGACAGCATATCATGGTGACGGAACACACACTATGATCTGGAACTTTACCTACGGCATCTTTTTCTTGGCTGTTCCCCATCGAGGATCAGCATATGCGAGGTTGGGGAGAGCCGCTGCTTGTATCGCCAAGATATGTCAAGTTCAACCTGACAATTCGTTTCTGAACAGCGTTGAGTTTGGTTCGAGATACAACGAGGCCCTGAACGCCAGATTCAAGCCCCTCCTCGAAAGGTACAAGATTTTCAGTTTTTGTGAGACGCTGCCGGTACAGAAGTATGGGTTGGATTTTGACATCGTAAACCTTGACCCCATTCTGTTTTCACCGAAATATACGTCTGACCTTGCCAGATTGTCGATAGGGACTCCGCAATCCTTGACCTTCCTGACGCTCAGGAGGTCAAGTTTTACCCTAACCGAACTCACACCGCGATTTGCAAGTTTGCAAGTGCCCGACGAACCTGAATGGAAGCAGTTATGCGGTGCCATCCAAGATGCTGCAAAGTCGTCTTCTAGCAAGTATGCTTGCTACAGCCTTACAATTTCTGAACGTAAGAAGAGGATCCAAGAATCCACTTGGCCTTTAGAAGGTACGCATAAGTCAGACACTGCAACGCACGCAAGCTCATCTGGGCCGCACAGAGGCGAATGAACAAACTCTCTCTATGCCGGAAGCAATAGGAAAAGCCCGGGACTTTCCCTTGAGCCTTGACGACGACTCCAAAGACAGCAGCAAACTCCACGGGAGTCGGCAAGAAGTCTCGCTCCTCAATGCAGGAGTCGCAACCATTGCCGTCTGGCTGTGGGGAGTGCTTCAGTTAATCACAGCACTCGTCCCTATCGTTCTCTTGATCTGGCTTCAAGTCCTTCCTAGCAAAGTCACGGTCATGGACAAAGCTGAAGAGGCCCGCCAATCTGGGCAGAAGGTAGCCGAGCTCGAGCGCCTAGCTATCGGAACATTGGACGCGCAGCTCTACGACACCTTGGAGACAATTGATATTCTTAAAACTGCATTGGACTCCGAGTTGGCGCACAACGAAGACACCACGACTACAAATCAATCCGCGCTCGCTCGTTCCCTGCTTGGAAAGTTAGACAATAGAGCCGAGCAAATAATCCGTGGCCTGCAAGACCACCATCGAGCCTACGACAGAGCAACTGTGAGAGTGATGCTGATCGAGGAAGGTCAGCGGGAGGCGCAGGACAAGGAAGGTGAAGAGTTTTGGATAAGGGTTGCTGAGAATGCACGACGGGAAAAAGCCAAGCTAGACGAGGAAGAGGAAAAGCAAGAGCCAGAATCAAGGACTTGCCCCGAGTGCATTGTACTTGGAATTGGCCGTGAAGTTGGAGATGAGGAAGTCGTTGCCCAGCACCGACTTGACCATCTCAATCGCCGTTGGGTGTTGGATCAGCTCGAGAAAGATCTTGTCCAGCTGCATCAGGTAGAACACGCGGACATTGCTGGGGTTGGGATCCAGGTGCGTGAGACGGGTCGGATCGCCCTGTTTCTCGCTCGCTTCTTTGGCTGCCCAGAGCCGTGACAACAGCAGTGCTCATTCGTCTTGGGTCAGGATATCCGGGAAGGCACACCAGCCTTTCCTCCTGGAGCTGTTTCTTGGCCGCTGTGGTGTCAATGGCCGCATCTGCCGATTTGATGTTGATCCCCATAGAGCCCATTGTGGCGAGGTGCTGAGACGAGTCCCACCTTGGAATCCAAGAGTCGTGGAGCCATGGCCTCGCACCTCAATGGGTTTATTTTGAAATGTGCACGCGAGGGGGCCATCTGAGGTTCAAACAGGCTCAGCACGCTGCCCAGTCCCATTCCCCCGCACATCCTGGAAAGGCCCACCAGCCCTCCTCCTGGAGCTGTTTCTTGGTTCTCATCCCGTTGGCTTGGCCTATCCCTCTCATCGGCCCACGTGCTCGCCCGTAGTCTCGTCACCTCTTGATGATATGTCAGAACTTGTTAGCTACCGTTACTACCCCTCCACGGCGCCTGCTGCCTGTCACAGCAGCTCGCCATCCACCTCATCCTCTTCATGATCACTAACGCGGCCTTCACTACTCAGTAAAACTATTAATTGCTAAGACCTTCATTCTGCGCAAAGACCATGTCTAGCGAGAGAAATGCACCGCCAAGCGCGCGCAGCATGGGTGTGTTTGCTCGAGTTACCGAACCGCTGAAACTGGCGATGGGACGGATGCGGGGATACACCCTACAGACCGAACAGGCCCTACACCGGTGGAACAGCCGCGAAGAAGATCCGGTGCCGATGAAACTCTGCAGCCTTTGTTCAGCGCTGAACATTGATCGTCTTTGGAACCTTGAGGGTGACTGGTCTCACCCTATGACGCACCAGCCCAGTTTTCCTGCGCTGCAAAAATCGGCAGATGATGGATGCGAAATGTGCTTAATGTTTTTAGAGTGCGTGTCTCTCGAATACTGCTACGAGAATGGTTGTTCTATCAACCAGTGCCACCAAGTCTTCCGAAAGGTCTCCAGACAGGGAGAGTCGCCATGTTTGCTGTCAGCGGACAAGTGGGCCAATCAGATACATCGCATAGATTATGCGATCGCAGACGAGTACTCAGCGGGTAATATGACGTGGATCAACAGGTATTATACAAGGGCAGGGTTTCTTCTCAGTAGCTATCTTGGTAGGTTTCGACTATGGTCAATGCTTAGATCGAGCTAAATCTCTCCAGGTAACGACGAGAGCCGTATTCGCCGGAGAGAGCTGGACATATCCCCCAACTGGAAGATTGCTCGCAAATGGATCGACGAATGCACAGAGAAACATTCGAGATGTTATTCGTATACAAAAGACACGGAGAGCCGAACCGAACGCGACAATCAGGCCGCACAAGAAACAGAGATGAGAGAGCTTCCTCAATTGCCGACACGAGTGATTGACGTATCACCCGAAGGTAGTTCGGAGCCACGTCTCTGCATATCTGAAGGTCGCCGGGCAGAATACGTGACGCTCAGCCATTGCTGGGGCACCACAAAACCTTTGGTGACAACCTCTGCCGATCTACCAAACCATCTAGTATCTATACCCTCCTCAAGACTTCCACGAACATTCCAGGATGCGATAAGGGTCACACAAGAACTGGGATACAAGTATCTGTGGATAGACTCTCTCTGTATTGTTCAGGATTCGTTGCAAGATTGGGAACGGGAGTGCAAAGAGATGGCTCAGACATACCGCAACTCTGCAGTGACAATCTCTGGTTCTGCCGCAGCCAACTGCTCCGACGGCTTCTTACATCCTCGACCACCGCCCACACCCGCACCGTACCTATGGGAGTATGAAGAGAATACCGGAACAAAAAAATGGGCCACTTTGAGGCATGCGAGTGGGAGTGTAGAGTACCCATATTACAACAACTTAACGGAGGCAGAACGGAATTCTCCTCTCAAAAAACGGGGCTGGATCCTTCAAGAGCATCTGCTTTCGCCACGTCTGCTTTTTTTGGGGCGCTACCGGATGTATTGGGAATGCAATCAGACCACAAAGTACGAGGATTTCCCCGATTACGATGCGAATGTATATGGGGACGACAGAGGGAGGGATCACACACATTGTTCGATAACCAAATTTTCCATGAAGAGACTGGATTTCACAAAGACACCTGAAGATTGGAGATTATGGTACAAGATAGTAGAGGAGTACACGACGCGAAAACTGACAAAGGCGGACGACGTATTACCAGCTCTTTCCGGCATAGCCAGCTGGATGTTCAGCGGAGAGCATGACCGCTACGTGGCCGGCATCATCAAGCAGGCTCTTCACGAAGGGTTGGCGTGGTGGACTTCGCAAACCTCAGGCGATCGGCCGCCCGGATATCACGGTCCTTCGTGGACCTGGATCTCGACTAATTCTCCGGTGTCGTTTTCGTCATACGCGGAATTACCTATGAGTGACACAGATGACTACCTCAAGGCAGACTCTAGAAGGATACGAATTTCGAACGAAGCCAAAAAGCTGAAGCTTGATATTGAAAGCACCGACCTTGAGATACAAGGCCTCGACCCTTTCGGACAAGTAAAGTTTGCCTCGATAAAGCTGAGAGGGAAACTTCTGCCCGCCAAAGTGACTTATTTTTCCAATCCCAACAAATTCTTTCACGTCGAGTTTTCCGATGACGATCGGTTTTTCTGGAATGACTTCCGGCCTGACAACTACGCTTCGTGGTGCAGTCTCGCTTCAGAAAAGTGGCAGAGCAGCGCGGCAATACTAAAACGACGAAAGAAGCGATCCAACAGACCCGAAGAGACCAGGATTGAGCTTGGCATCACTGTTGAATGTCTAGCTGTTGACCTAGGTTATTCGGAATGGGTTGGTCTGGCCGTAGAGCCGTTCAGTTTCGGTCATCCAGCGTCTTCTCAGGATAATTCCGAAGGCGAAACTTACAAAAGATATCGACGGATTGGGTTTATCCATGGCAAGGTTCGGCGGAGTGATGAGCATTTCTATAATGCTCCATGGGAGCGGATAGAACTTGTCTAGACCTACCCAGTCTGGATGTCGGCGGCATCAAGGCCATCCATCCGTATCCTCCGTAATACGACATCCTGCTGCCTATGGATCATTTCGGAAGCTGGTAGATTGATCGCACTGATATTATTCCGCCTCCGGATGTCTACGACAAAAGCAATTAAGCGGTTCAAGGAGATTCCTCATGAGCTACAAGCGCAAGATATGATTGGGTCGGTCGCCCAACATCGCTTAAAGAGTTGCCTCCATGGTTGAGCCTCCACCTCGGTAAACCTCTCGGCTGGTCACTTTGGTCCAAAATTGTCGAAAAATCAACGGAGAGGAAGTGCCCCTCAGAAGCTATTTTGTCCACCTCACCCCCCAACAGCAATACGCTGCGCATAGAGGGGATCCTATTGTATTGTTTGTTTTCGTTGTTGATGTTGGCTGTCCTAGAGGACTCCTTCCTCCGTATCGTATTGATGTACGATGGGTTTAGTTATGGACCTATCTAGTTGATTGTGTCCTGTCGCTCTGGCTACTCAGAGAGACTCTGCCTGTTTATATATACATTGGCCTATAACCATAAGAGCATTCCTAAAACCTCCTACTTCGTCGCCATCCTATCACAGAACTATAGGAACAATGAGGTTAAGGTAGTTTACGTAGTTGGTGAAGCGTTGTTAGACACAGCCTTAAGGGAGACCGATCACGAGTCGCACGGACACGACTCATCACGTTCATTGGACACCTGGAGGGATCCATGGAGGAACAAGGCTGGGTCACGTGATATGCCCTGCTGGCTCTGCTGGCCCTGTTGGCTCTGTTGGCACAGAGCGCACAGAGCACACAGAGCGCATAGAGCGTAAGCATTATATATACACCTTCATTACCCTAGATAGTTACACTCTCTTCGTAGCTAACTTATATTATCTACTGGACTATATAGTTCTTAGTAATAGAGAACCCTACTCATATCTTGTGTCTTCCTTAACCAGCTCATGCTATTCTAGGATTATTACTGAGAACCCTAACCTAGTTAGGATTAGTAGGGATCCTTAATACTTTAGCTACTACCCCCGTTGCGGAAGGTAACCTCTATGAGTAGACCGAATCGACCCGCCTCACCTATAGACGAACTCGTACAACGTACTGCACGACTATCACTAAACGATAATACGATGTCGACAACTTCGAGTACACCGAGACTAACACCGAGTATCCCAAGAACTACGATTAGTGCACCGCCACCGGCGTATAGAACGAGTGTGGTAAGCTCATTAAGAGACGTACTATTGATAGTTAGTAAGGGAAAGATTAGTAACCCATCTAAGCCCTTTAACGGCGTAGAATCTAAACTTATATTCTTTATTTACTATGTGAATATATATATTTTAATGAACCTCACTAACTTCTAGAATAACTTATAGAAGATCCTTTTCATGGGAAGCTACTTCGAAGGGGACGCGGAGATATAGCTTAGACTCTTTATTAAGGATTATATAGAAAACGAAGGCGACGATAAAGAAGATAAAACTATTAATCTATTCGAAATATTTATAGAGTTTAAGGAAACGGTGAAGCTAGTATTTAGAGTAAAGAATGAGAAAAAGAAAGCCTAAAAGAAAATAGTGAGCCTTCGATAGATGAAATTAATTTAAGAATACGTAATAAAATTTAGAATATTAAACGTAGCTCTAGAATAGTAGAATAATATTACTATTTTAATCTTTAGAGAAGAGTTAAAACTAAAGATTAAGTAGGAATTACGATATCTCGAAAAGATTATCTTAGAAGACTAAATAGTCGTCGCCATTAAAGAAGATAACGATATTAAAGAATATCGATAATAAGAACCTTATAATCTTAGAAAGATATAAGCTATAAAGATATAATAGATAAATATTTAAAAAAGACGCGAATCGTACTACGAACTCTAATCTATAGACCTAAGTTAGACGTAAAAACGACGGAATAACTTTAAGAAAGATAAACTAAAGAAGTTTTCTAGGAAGAAAAAAGAAGTTATCTACTATAGCTACGAAAAACTAGAACATTATATAAAAGAATGTAAATAGAAGAAGAAGTAGATCGCTATCGTAGAAAAATAATCGAAGTAGAAGAAAATCGTTAAAACGATTTCGGAAGTTAATATAGCTAAAGAAGAATATATATATTTAGACGATACTATAAACTAGGGAAAGACGATTATTACGGGGATCACTGCTAATAAGATTTATATTCGAACTAAGTATTAAATGAGAAAATTATACTTCGATCTCTACTACTTACGGCGAGCTATAGAATATAATTATACGGTGTACGAACTAAGTGAATTATCGTCGAATATAGAAATAATCTTTAAGATCTATCTGTGCCGAAGTCGAGAATATCTATAGGCTAATACTTACTCGGATTTTATATACGCCTACTAAAGAGAAAATTCATAAGGATAACCGTTGATATAGATTTCTTCCGATGATACGACGTTACTCGAATGTAATATAGCTAATTCTAAATACGACTTAGACTCTAACTATACTAGAGAAAGCTAAATACGAGAATCTAAAGAGTCCTTTATAGAGAAAGAAATTAGATAACTAATTCGAGAAGCTACCGAACGAGTTATAGCGACGGTAGTATAAACGGAATAGATTATCCGCGAAGTAAGGGAAGCTATAGACTAAGGAGAAGCCTTCTTACGATTTCTCACTAAAAGGAATATTCTAAACATTGCTAGAATAGCGCGACTTCCGGAAGAAGAGATTCGCGAGTGAATTAACTATATAAGAATTATAGATCGAGCGGAGGCCGGGGTATAGGTAACTATACGCGCTTATTAAGAACGAGGAGTTCTAGTCCTACGGTATATTAAGATCTTACTTAATGTACTTATCGCTGAACTATTTCCTTATAATCGCGTTCATAGCTACTCTCTTCGATTAATTCTATATCTTTACGAGTAGTACCTTAATTATTTATAGTTCGAAAAGTTAGAGATAACGATTATAAAGATATAGTAGATCTATACTAAGTTAATTTAACGCTGTGACGACTATAATTACGACGTATTATAACTATAAGGTGAAAGAGTAAACTATCTTTACTAGCTAAAAAACTAGATTGGTGGGAGAACTAGGGGCATCTATACTATTGAAAGTATACTCTTAGAAGACGCTAGCGCTAAAAGGTTAATAGTAAGAGCGTATATCTAGTTAGGGCTAGAGAGAAAAGACGAAAGCTAAAACTCGAAGTGAATACGGTTATAAGGTCTAACGCTAGGGCTATATTTCTTAGAGGAATACTTAAAGACTAGAAAGTTAGTATTCTAATAGATTTAGAATATATAGAGAACCTCGTATATATAAGAGTAGTAGAGAAGCTACGGAACTAGAAAGTTCTAAGACTAGAGTCCGATATAATTATCGGATTCAATGAAATAATCATAATATAACTTACGTACGAGTTAAAAGCGATATAACTAACGATCGGTGATCACTAGGAAAAGCTAGACTTCGATATTATAGATATAAAATATAATATAATCCTTAGAATACTATGGCTAAAGTACTATAACTCTATTATCGACTAAGCTAAGTTCTAGGTGCGGTTCGATAACTACGACCACGATAATAGAACTCTAGAAATGGAGATAGAGGCGATATAAACTTATATAAAAAGGATGGTTTAGATACGACTAATATAGATTTTCGATAATGTAACTATAGAATATTCATTATAGTATACGCATCTAAGATTAGTATTTAAAAAAAGAATAGAGACTAATGCACTATCGGAATATAAGCTATAGAACTACGAAATACGCCTATAAGAAGGAAAGTAATCTATATTCGAATCTCTCTACTTCTTATTAAAGAAGAAATAAGTCGCTCTACGCGAGTACCTTAAAGAAAATATAGCTAAAGGCTACATTAGACTATTAGAGTCGGAAGTAGAATATCTAATTCTATTTACTTTAAAGAAAGATAGGAAACTCCGATTATATATGAATTACCGGAAGCTTAATGATATATTAAGGATCCCTACTAATCCTAACTAGGTTAGGGTTCTTAGTAATAATTCTAGTATAGCGTGAGCTGATTGGGAAAGATATAAGGTATGAGCAGGGTTCTCTATTACTAAGAACTAAATGGTCCAGTAGATAACATGAGTTGGCTACGAAGAGAGTGTAATTACCTAGGGTAATGAGGGTGTATATATAATGCTTATACTCTATTGCGCTCTGTGCGCTCTATGCGCTCTATGCCAATAGAGCTAACAGAGCTAACAGGGCCAATAGGGTATATTACGTAATCCAGCCTTATTTCTCCGTGGCTCCTTCCGGGTACCTAATGAACGTGGTGAGCCGCACTCGTGCGACTCGTGGTCGGTCTTCCGTAAGGCTATGTCTAACACTATCCTCCCTCCGGTTAGACTCTTATCCTAAGAGTCCGTCTTAGCGATGATATAAAAGTGGGACGCTGCCCAGCTTAAATTCGTCCAAGTCTAAAGATGCCTCCTTCCTTCTCTTCTTCTCGTCTATAGTCCGTCGCTTCTAAGTCTCTTTCCCGTGTTCGCGATCGTCCTCTCGAACGTCTTCGTTAATCTCGCAACGTTTAGTCCACTGGTTACCGAACTATAGCACCTTGCTCTAATTATGATCGCTCCCGCTCGATCTATGTAATGAAACATAGGGTCTCCCGTTATTCTGAGTGTTTAAAGAAGAATATAAAGTGTGATGGTTAATATTCTAAGTTAGAGTATTAGAGCATCGAGCAGAAAAAGTCGAAGTTACGGAATAAGGTGCGGGAGGCCTAGGCTCGTATGGCTCAGCGTATCTAATGGTACGCAGAGGAAATGGCTCGCCTAGCGTAATAGTAATCTCTGGAGTTACTTTAGGAGTAGTTCCGTTTAAACTAGGTAGAGCGCCAGCTAGATAAGTTAACGTAGGCTTAGAGTAATATGACGGTTCGGGTCTATATAGTACTCGACCGTCTTAACGAGGAAGAAGAGTATACACCGAATGAACCTAA